AGTGATAATCGGAAGGGGCCAGGTCTGGCGAATACGGCGGGTGCGGTAGCAGATCCCATTTCAGCGTTTTGATGGTGTCCTGGACGATGGAAGTGCGATAGCATGGAGCGTTGTCGTGTTGCAATATCACTCGTTCGCGTGTCTCGTGCCCCATTCTGGCCGTTTCTCGAGCAATGCATGGTTCAAATTGACAAAGTTGTTGTCAGTAGCGATGCCCATTGACAGTTTCGTCCGGCTTCTTTTCAGCAGCTCATTACACGATTCCTTTCTGGCCCCACCAAACGCAGAGCATTGTCTTCTTTCCGAAGCGATTTGGCCGTGCCGTCGATGTTGATGCTTCGCCAGGTGAAAGCCACGATTTTTTGCGTTTGGGATTTTCGAAATATATCCACTTCTCATCGCCAGTAACAATTCGACGCAGGAAACTCTTTCTTTCATGCCGCAAAAGCAAAATTTCGAAAGTGGCTCTTCGATTTTCCATCTGTCTCTCAGTCAACTCATGCGGCACCCATTTTCCTTCCTTTCGAATGTTTCCCATGGCATGTTTGGAAATACGTTTGGAAAACTTGGCGAGTCATGTTTAACGCCTCCGCAAGTTGATCTTGTGTTTGCGTATCATCTTCATCCAATAACACTTGCAGATCGGCGTCCTCAATTGTTTTTGGTCTTCCGGAGCGCTCCTTGTCCTCAGTGCCGCCATTTCTGAAATCGCCACTTCTGAAGCGTTTAAACCAATCTTCACAGGTAGTTTTCGATGGTGCATGTTCGCCGTAGGCCTGCTCAAGCAAACGACGTGCTTCACCTGCACTTGTTTTCAAGTTAAAGCAGAAAAGCAAAGCTTCCCGCAAGTGCTGTTTATTTGGCACAAAACTCGACATCTTCGTTGTTAGAAAAAATATTTTTGCGTTGCGATATGTGTTGGTATTACGACTGGTTATTGTTAACAGATGTCCAAGCTATAAAAAAAAACACAACTTCAGACATGTATGTCGATTACATGTGTCGTTAGCGCCATCCATGAGTGAAACCCGGAAACTTGGTTGCGCACCTAGTACTTGTGACTCAATCCAATCTACGTCTTACGCATTAAGAGAAATACAAGAGAAAACCGATATTCGCGAGAAACCGATTCGCGAGAAACAACACGGGGTCCGCACTCTCGACTCCTATATGGTCGGATACACGACCGATCATCGACGGTTGAACTCGACTCGGCAGACCGAAGACAGGAAAGGAAGAAAGCAAAACACACGTACAGCAAATAACGTATAAACAGACAGACAGTCGATGCGCGGCATTACACAACGTGTGTTGTTATTGATGTACAGAAGGACTGTACGGAAGGGGACGAAGAGAAGGGCAGGAATGCGAAATTTTCCGCTGCTTGGCGATACACAACAAATAACGTATTTTCCCTCGAGATGAATCCACGGATGTTTTCCGACCGAAGAATTACCTGTTTTTCGATAATACGACCGAGCGCCGAAAGGTAAATCACGCGGCTGCACGCGAATTACGTCCGACGAAATGCATCGGCAGCCAACGAATCGAATCGCGAATAACCTCCCGACGAAGATAGCGAGGAGTAACTTTTCGAAACGCTCGCAGAGAGATGGAGGAGGCGATGAACTGCCGCTTGCCGGCGCGGTCGAGGGAGCACGTTATTAATCATTATGAATAATCCGACGTGTGCGTGACTCGGTTTCAGCGATATTGCACGAGCGAGCAAAAATTGATCACGAAGGGGGGGGGGCGGAGGGCGGGGAGAGAAGAGAGGCGAGAAACAAGACGGATAAGCAGGAAACGCAGAAATTCCACGGGAACCTCGATAATTGCGGCCGACGGAGCGTAACCACGAGCCGCGGTTTAATCGCGCGCGATTACGCGTCGCCTGTATGCTCCTTCGCGGTGCGTTCCGTTGTGCGTTTAATCCGCCGGAAGCAGCACGAGAGCGGTGCGGAGCGCACGACTGATTCAATCGCGACGTAACAAACGAGCAGTCATAACTCTCGCGCGGGAATTCGCAACACGCTGACACAATGGTGTACGCGGTGCCGAGCCATTAGAACGCCGAACATCCATCATCGGGCTTCGAAGTAGACGCGACACGGTGACGGATTAAACTTTGCCCGTATCGGCGATGTAATTCGATAATTATACGCGGCCATCGGCGCGTCAGTCCGCGCCGAACCGTCTTGCCCACTGACGGGCCTCGAGGGTGTATTGTATTTCTCTGTTTTTTTTTTGTAAAAGAGAGAAATCGAGACTGGCGGCCACTCAACACGCTGAAAAATTTGGAGCGCGCGATGCGTGCTCCAGTTACAGCGATTTAAATATTTCCACAAGAAGCAAACCACGCCGCTATCCCAATTTTCTGTCCGACTTCTTCAATTTCTTGCGATAAATCGGGAGACGTGGTGGAGTTTGGCGCCAAGTGTGTAATGTACGACGCTTTCGTGAAAATTATACGCGCGAAGGACGCCACCGCATGCGTCCCGGCGAGATGAGATCTCGAGGGAGAGAAAGAGAGAGAGAGCGAGAGAGAGAGAGAGAGAGAGAAAGGGAGAAAGACGTACGCATGAAAGTCGCATAAAATAGATTTTGTGTTAGTATTTCGCTGCTTTTAGCGCGTCTCCGGTCTCCCTCCCGAAAATCATCGATTCGTTCATAAGCAAAAGAGCGCATCGTGCGCATTTTGTTGCCAGGACGGCCGTTATTGCCCGCTGACGTTGCCGGCTTTGAAAGATTAAAATACCTTGAGCGATTTGCATGAGAGACTTATTACGAAGCTCTTCTCGTAAGAAACTTCGTCCCCGCAAAGTCCTCTTCAGAGCTTTGCCTGAGCGTGTAAGCCCGAGGCGAGATAATCCGAACACTATCATCCGCGCTAGTTGAAAATGAATAAGAGAAACTTAGCGTGCTGTCGAACTGTTTGAAACGAACCAGTTTCTGCACGTCGCATTAATAATACCATGTAAATAATCCGCGAGATAATTTTGCCTTAGTCCGCAAGTTGCAAATCCATCTCGTAATTCATAAATTTAAAGCTCAGGATAACTTATTTCCTTTTATTTAACAACTTTATTTTATATATTAATAAGAGAGAACAACAGATATATATAAATTTTTCCATGTCACGTGGGAGATAGAGAACGGCGAGCGGGAAAAGGGCGGGGGAGAGAGAGAGAGAGAGAGAGAAAGAATTGTATCTGTTAACGTTTTTAATATACTTACCATGCTTCATTAAGTATCGATTTATAAAGTTATCGTAGATAGCAGAGACGGGACTTGGACTACTCTAATGGCATTATTTCTCGGATTCTCCTGCATGCTAATGCGATTAAAAGTACGTCGCTACTAATGGAAAGCGAAAGGACGAATAGACGAGAGCTTACTGACTGAGAGCGCAGTGACGGAAAAAAAGAGCGGTAGGACATTATCCGCTACCTGGATTATACGGTATGTGGACTCTATAGCGTGCAATTGTGATTTAAGCAATAAATTTATCAAAGGCGCAATAATGTCATCGCGCGAATATTAATTTGAGATGGCTTCACAAAGACCGCGGCAGAAAAAGCTGCGACGACGATCGGAGTAATCAGGCGCCGCAAATCGCAAGGCGGGCAACACGAGAACTGACGAACGAGAATGATCAGTCAGATTGAAACAATAAAGTAAGACGAAATGGAACAAGGGAAAAGCTCATGCAACGAGTATATACGCGAATATCTGCGATAACTCTCGGCTAATTGGAAATCAACGTTTCCACTTCATAACAACAAGCATCCCCCTCTGACTGTTCGCCTGCCGTTCGATCTCCCGACGTTCGTGAGACCCAAGGTAAACGCAGTACCGGCGCTCAAACTCGCACCGCTCTCAGTCATCGGTAGCGCGTGTTAAGGGGTTATTAACTTATTACGTCGCGCGACATCGATAAATATAGGCGACGAGAAAACGCAGGAAAACCTAACTATCCCTCTCTGCGTCACGTTGCCAGCTGGCTAAACCGCCGCTCTCTATTCTCTGCCACGTCGCGTGCAGCGATCGCGATGAGTCGAAAGATGCGAGAAGCTGGCCGCTTTTAGACACTCGTTGCGGCTCGCTTGCTGAAATTTCGGAGAGCACGCTAGCGTGCGCTCGGCGAGCATAAACGCGCACAGAGAAGGAGACGGATCTTCTGGAAAATGATCGAGAACAACGAGTTCCCTTCGCGCGACATCCCGAAGACGTATATGCGCGTTCCGAGGAGAATCTTCCAAGCGAGCGCATTAACGTCGCGGGAAACACGATCCATAGGAAATACGAGAAAAGCTTCTCGCAGTCTCGAGCGATGTTGCAGCTGCTTCGACAACGAGCTCGCGAACGCCACGTCGGATTCACTGTCAGCGCTCGTAGAGAGAGAGAGAGAGAGAGAGAGACACGCGGCATTATCGCAGCGAGGACAATGCTAATCCTTCAGGGGATAGCGGGGTGTGTGTATATGTGATATCGGTGTCGACTGACGCTTAACACGTCCGGTTCTTGAGTATACAGTATGCAGAAGGGATGTAAATATTGAAAGAATATTAATACTCAATATTTTTTCGGTGCTCACGCTGGTAGCGGGAGACCAGGAAGAATGGATTTTAAGTCGATCTTCGCTGGGAGAGCGTACATCCCCGTGCAAAGCTACCGGAATAACGCGTGTATTTTTTACTCCATGCAGGAATAAAAATCAAAAGTAATATCAAATGAAAATGATGAAAATCGACTGACTCTCTCTCTCTCTCTCTCTCTCTCTCTCTCTCTCTCTCTCTCTCTCTCTCTCTCTCTCTCTCTCTCTCTCTTCCTATGTCTCTCGCGCGCGATGCGCGCGACATTTCGCTCGTCGGCGAGTATTTTTTCAAACGTTTCAAAAGCTGCACGAAATAAACCGCGCAACGACTGGATAGAGATCGACCCGCTCGTCATGGTCGCGCCCGCGTTTTCATTAATTCCGCTTTTCTCTTTCGCTTTTCCAGAACATGTCGTCCATGCGAACACAGTCGACCGGCGGCGGTGTTCTTGGTTTGAGCAGTATTGGCTCCGATCGTACGGGCGCAACTTCGACCGGCGCCGGTTCCCACTCGCATTCCCACTCGCACAGGAGGCATCATCATCACCACAGGAGCAGAAGCGCACCCCGGGCACTGGAGAAACCGCCCAGGAAGCGTCATCTAAATCCTGGACGGAGTCTCGCTTCCATTCCCTGTCAGATCAAGCTGTCGATGCTCAACAGCGGTCTCATCTCGTTCAGTGAGTTGACTCGATTCTGTCTCCTTGATGAATCGCTCTGGTCTGCCCCACGGTACTCCCAATTAACCCCTCCGCCCTCTACCTAATCTTCTCAACGATAATAACATCTAGATTCGGAACGAAAGGTGAAAGACGTTCGGGAGAAAGATCTCGATTAATTGATACGTTTCTATTTTCCCTCATCAAGAATACCTCACATGCGCGATCGAACGTGTTCGAATTGCAGTAACGAGCGGCGAAACGAATTACAAGCGGTATAAATTTGCATAACATCTGAGGCTGAGAAAGGTAATAAAAAATAATTGACATCAACCGTGATCCGCACTTGCGGTGTTCGTTTGAAAAATGCAAACTTCGATTATACCGTGTATGTGTCTGATGATTAATGAAAGTCGCGTTAAACGCGACGCGACACAGATCCGAATTGATCGCTCTACACGCGCTTTGTAAATTTTTCCTCTGTCCTGCACGTTAAATTCACATTTACTCTCCCAACGCGGATCGTCATAAATACGGCGCGGGCAGAATGAGAATCGCTTCCAGGACGAAAACGAATGTTTCATTCGAACCGAATGAGATGTATTATTTTCGTAAATGCGCGAGACATTGCACACTATCAGCGCGATGAAATCCCGTGAATTTTCCATCGAATATCGCAAATGCATTTTCCATTACGCGGAAATAAATTTTATGCATTCAGGCCACCTCGAATCCAAAGGCTCCACTCGACACGACTGCGCAATTGACACTTGGTAAAGAACATCAGGCGCATAATTCGATGAAGCTGAACGTTCCCTCTCGAGGCCTTTCGAGACGTATTAGAAGCTTTTAGCGTCGACCTAGCTGCCCTCTCCTTCTCTCTCTCTCTCTCTCTCTCTCTCTCTCTCTCTCTCTCTCTCTCTCTCTCTCTCCTTCTCTCTCTCTCTCTCTCTCTCTTCCCCCTTTTCTTTCTCTTTCTCTTCACCCCGGCGGTATCGTTATGGAGAACTTTTTCGCTCACGACGGTTTCGCATCTAATATTAAAAGAGAAAGCCGCCTCTGTGTCTTCACTTTCTTTCTTCTTTCCTCTTTTCTCGCTGATCGCCAACAGACAGTCAACGACGACGCATTGTTCGACGTTTTATTCGAACGTGCCGAAATTCCCGAGCTTCAATTCCCCAGTACTCATAAGCGCCCGGGAATCGAAACTTCCACGGCATTACGTTCTCGTAGTTTTCCAGCTGCAAGCACTCTAGATTCTCGAGAGGGGACCCAAGATACTCTAAATATTCTCGGAACTCTCGAGACCTTCGAGAGATCGTGCTGAAACTTACGGTACTTTCCGAGAGGTCAAAGGCGTTTCGAAAAAAAAAAGAATCCGGAGATTTTCACGCGCTGTGTGAAAGATATTTCATTCAACGCGGGGGGGGGGGATCGTCCGAAAATACACAAGTAGACTCGCGGAGTTCTGAAGTGCGAACACAAATGTTCTTATAAATTCTGACGCTTCTACAAGTGAAGAACGAATAAATGTACAATGATCTTTTCCTCTCATTCTCGCTCTTTCTTCTTCCCTCGCTCTTACACGAGAAGATAGAGATATACGCATCGATGTCGGATATACCACACGTAACAATCTCTGCCGAGGGAGATTCTCTGGCTGGCGATTAGTGTCCCGTTGGATTTTAAAGAGTTCGATTTTTTGTCGTCGACATGCGGTGGATCTCGTTGTCGATCTGAATAGCAAAATAGCCATCATTAGCAAGTCAATACGTAAACATGAGTAATACCGACGGCTCGCGTCACACACATACACACACACACACACACACACACATCATGCCTCCCAATCCGTATCCGAGATGAAGGCTCGAGGTTTTGAATCAGCAGTTTCGAATGCGGTAACCGCGCGATACGGAGCACGCAATGTATCCTTGTCGACCAGCGCGGTTCTCGTCGGTCGAGGTCGCATTGTTAATGCGACGTTTGAGTTGCATAAAGAACCTTTCGCTCGCGGCGAGCGAACTTTCGAGCCGAGTTGAAAGCAACGATAACAACAGTTCACGCGACGATTAGTCCGTGAGAATCCCCGGCCATCAATGCGACCGTCGATCGATGAGCGAGAAATTCGAGCTGAAAAATCGACGGCGACTTCACTTTCATCGGAGTCATTCGCTGCTGCGTTTCGCGATCCACGAAGTCGTAACCTAACCTGAGCGCATGATAGTGCAAAACGCGGCGCGCCAGAACCACATTGTTAACAGACCGGAGAAGATTGTTTATGACACGGATACGTAAATTTAGCCGCGCACGGTATGCTTGAGCTGTCGCTACCGACGAGGAATCAGTGTACCGCGCGCGCGGCAAGGTAAACATTTGGCGCCGAGAATATCATTCATAACGAGGTCGAGGGGCCGCTTATCTGTCGCGCGTGCAGTCGCGCCGAACTACTCGTATATCCGTCTCGACACCTGCCCTCGTCGGGCGAAAAAAGCAATTAACCCGCCTCCACCTTCGCGGAGCTCGCAGGAGTAGAGTGTCTTGAAGAGTCATTAAGAAGGCCCGGCCGCGCGGTCACGCGCTCGGATTTGAAACGCTCGATCCGCGATGAATCTCCTCGTCGTCGTCGTCGTCGTCGTCGTTGTCGTTGTCGTCGTCGACGGGAAATGATGCCGCCGTCGCAAGCTCGCGTTTCCCAGCGACGCTAGAGAGGGCCATTTATTCCGCCGCTTTTATTGCGGGGACTTACGCATATTTTTCTCAATGGCTAAACATTTCCCCCTGTCGACGCGCGTGAATGGCATTGTCATTTTATACATTCGAAAGGTGCATTGCGAATGCACAATGTGGCCGAGACGCGTTAATCATCGCGCGAGACAATAACACTGCCAGTTACACGTTCCGCCCATTGTATCGCGTACGGGCGCACCTCGACGCGTGCATCCTTTTTTTCATTTCTTTCTTTTCTCTCGCCACACATACACACATACACACAGTGTGATTCTTTCTGCTCAGCATGTTTTCCGCGAGCGGCGTCTCGATAAGAGCCTGCACGATATGCGTGTGCGACTACGGGCATTTAGGCCACTTGGATCGTTCCTTTTGAATAAAGAAACGTGCGCGCGCGCGCGCGCATGCGCGGCACAAAGCGCCGACGTTTAAAGCTCGTTTCGAGCGCAAGGTACTTGAGACGCGCTCAGCATCCTCGAGTTTTACGTTAAGACGTCGTTGCGTCGCACTGTGCGAAGATACGTGCAGTCGAGGGGGGCTGAAACGATACATCTAACTTTACCGTCTGAGACCAGTTCGTCATGACATAAAACGTCGATGCGTTCCATGTAACTCGGAGAAGGCCGCGAGAGCGTGCACCTTAGGCGCGACTCCGCGGGCTCGTGTGTTCATCGCCTTTATTTTCAGAGATATGGAAACTTGTCCTTGTAAGCATTATAAATGGCCTCATGCATTTTTGCAGCGTTACAATGAAAAGTCTCTCCTCCGCCGAGGAGAGCACGAGCGAGCGACAGAACTTGAAGAATTTGAAACCGCGCGATGGTTCGGATGTATCGTATAAGCGGGCCAGAGGTAGATTAAATCGAGGATAAATATATAGAAAAGGGTACGTCTCACCGATTTTTTTCATTTTGAAATATGTTATAAAGGATGAAATTCCGAGTGACTTTTCCTCATACAATTATATGGGGGTCGCTTATAGTTTCTGAGATATTTGACTTTAAAGTTTTATAATTGTACGTTGAAGTAGAGGGCAGTCTGAAAAGTTCTCGGCCTAACGATGAAAGAAAATTTTTTTTGCCGTGAAATATGTTTTATTTTTCAATATAATCTCCTGAAACTTCAATTACATTTATTCCAACGTTTCTCCAATAATTCAATACCATCATTAAAGTGTGATTTCGGAAGGTTCTTTTCGCTCTGGTGTATATCTGGTGGATCCAAGTTTCGTCGACAGTTATGAAACGACGCTTGAAATCTATTTTATTTTGCTTAAAACGATCCACACACGCTTGAGAAATATGCATTCGAATGCGTTTTTGGTCAATTGTTAGCAAATGCGGTATCCATCTTGCACAACGTTTTTTTCAACTGGTGCTACTACTCGAATGATTTGACAAATCGAATAAAATTTTACACAGGTTTATATCAGGAATGCCACTTTCCAATACAATTATAGTTTGACAGTTTCTAATGCCAGGTATGTGTCAGGTCGAGAACTTTTCAGATTGTCTACGTATATTTGAAGTAGAGGTAAATATATAGAAAGGGGTACACCTCACCGGTTTTTTTTTATTTTGAATTTTATGTTATAAAAGATGAAATTCTGAGTGACTTCCTGATACAACTATATGGGAGTCGCTTATAGTTTCCCAGATATTTGATTTAAAAATTTTTGAATTTTGATTCTCCTGGAATTAAATTCCAGGAGATCATAAGCTGACGTTATTTACGACATAATCCAAACAGTTAATCCAAACATAATGTATACATAGAAATATAGGAAACAGTACATATAAGCGGTAGAGGGGCTCCGCCCCTCCCCAAAAAAATTCTAACCTAACCTAACTTATTGCATCTTTATATATTGTTGGGCGATGTTGAAAAGAGATCTTCTTAAAAGCTACAATACCTTAATTATATGCAGATATTATAATAAGTTAAGTTGAGCCAGGTGATAGATCTTAAGAGAACTTTTTTCAACAATGTCCAAAAATATACAAAGATGCAATAAGTTAGGTTAAGTTAGGATTTGTTCGGGGAGGGGGTGTGGGGAAGGAGCGAAGCCCCTCTCTCACTTACATGTACTGTTTCCTATATTTAAAGTGAATGAAAACTGCTTGTCTACTTCAAATATACTTCAACGTACAATTATAAAACTTTAAAGTCAAATATCTCAGAAACTATAAGCGACCCCCATATCATTGTATTGGGAGAAGTCACTCAGAATTTCATCCTTTATAACAGATTTCAAAATGACAAAAATCGGTGAGATGTACCCTTTTCTATAT